CCCCAAAACCCCAAAACCCCAAAACCCCAAAACCCCGAAGAAATATCAGATGTTGAATTCTGGCTGTACCATTTTTATCCGAGATAGTAAAATATTTCAGGGAAATGGCCAGACCACACAGAAGTTCCGTTTGAACTATCACCTCCACTATCAATTTCAAAAAGTCCCATATGCTCATTTTGGATATCCTTATAATTCTGCCCATTTTGACCACTAAATGTTTCGACATACGAGTGGCTAGATAAGCTTTCTGCTATCCAACAAGTGAACTCTATTTTAGATCCAGCTGGTGCATTATAGATACCCTTGAGTTTATGTCTATAGTAATGTTCATTCTCCCAGCCAGATGCAATAACTGTTTCTTCTTCAACATCAACTCCATCGATACGAACTCTATACTTGAGCTCGTAGGAATCCTTTGTTCTTGCAGCGAATGTACTGAAGCCACAAACCTTTATGCTTTGAGTAGGCTTGAACATAATTCCATCCGGAGAATTACCAGAATTTGACCAGCCCCAGCTATTATTCACATCAGGGAATCTGTTAAACTTAAATGGCTTGCCAAATCCTTCAGATGCTAAGAAATAGTCTCCATCCTTAATGCCATCAATACTTGACAAATTCTGATCTTTGTCTATGACTTGTCCTTTGAAGAAGAGTTTTCAGCCCATTAGTGCTGCTCCAGCCCCTTCGAAGGGACCCTCAAATGCAGTCTCAAATTTTTCATAAATCTTGGGATTCACCTCGATCGTCATAGTATCATCTCCATCTTTAGTGATGTTGATGAATATCTTAAGGGAGTTTTTAAATTCATCAAACTCTTCAGGCTTGGAGATCTCAATAGCATCTACTCCATCTTTCTTCATAATACTAGCCCAAGTCGGATTATACTGATCATCTGTTTTAAGGTCAAGGACTTTATACCACTCATGTGTCTTCTTGTTGTAGACCAGCTTGTCTTTATTGAAAATTGGAGCTGCCTTCCCTTTAAAAGTTCTCATTACGTTTGCTTCTGAATAATTTCCAATATCAGGAGCATCCTTCTTCTTTAGCTCTTCCTGGGTGTATTCCTTCATGGATGGTTTGACACTTTGGAATGGGAGATAGTCCTCATCAAGAGTGTTCCTGAAGATAATATCTTTTCTGCGTGAGTATTTTTTAGCAGTCTTTTCGGATCCTTCCATACCTTAATAATATCTTATTAATAATTTCAATTTAATTCTATTGGTAGGGGTTTTGGGGTTTTGGGGTTTTGGGGTTTTGGGG